TTCCAACCCTTTAATGACGTGGTTGGCTCCACTGGCAACCAGCCCCCATCCTTAGGTGCTTTCCAAAAATGTCTCATTAACATAGCAAAAAACACCTTTGTTGCTCTCGTCACTTATGAAATTCCAAGGGTTTTAGGAGCTCTCTGCCAGAAATGATGAAGACCAAATATATATTTCCTATTATAAATCACAGTATCATATTGGCAATGTATGAATCTTGGGTTCCTCAAGCACTGCAAATATGCCTGTGGCATACATCAGGTACCTGGGCAGAAAATAATCACTCCTACCTGGAACCTAGAGAGTAATGACTAAAGGAAATAAAATCGAGGGAAGTAGTATTGATTCTAGAAAGAGAGTTGTTAAAATTAATAAACAGAAACCTCATTTAAAATGGATTTGGGAGGCCAGGAGGGGGAGCTCTCATGTCCTACATTCATAGCACAGCCCAATAGCAAGAAGAAAGACTCCCTCTTCTCAAGAAGCAGCTCAGCCAGTGAGAGACTGTCACAACTTAGCCAATGAAAAGCCACTACGCCTCGAACTCCCAGGCTCCTCCAATGGACTCTCTATTTACGATAGCCCTCCCAACTTCCTCTTTCCCTCTATAAAAGAGTTTCTCCGTCCCTCGTTGTTCAGGACTTGCATGTGGCTCACCGTGGTTGTGGACTCTGAATTGCAATTCTTTGTTGATCCTGAATAAACCCGTTTTTGTTGGAGAAATAACTGGCTGTCTCTTTGTTTAAGGTCAACAGAGCATAGCAGGAGTAGAGCAGTCAGGAAAATATTATGTGAGCCATGGGATTTGAAGTGATCAGGATTTAAAGAAATGGACTCTTGTTATCTTTTCATCTTAATTATCCTTAATTTCAAATCTCAGCTTATTTACTTGAGTTTCATTTTGTCCAAGTCTGGCTTGTTGCTAGTAAATTTAATTCTCGTCTCTAAGTTCTTGAGTTGTCATTATTCCAGTGTAAGTGCTTCTATTTTGTTAACAAAAATTCAACCAAGTACATTTGAAGATCTAATTGGCTTTATTAAGTGAGTCACGAATCCGGCAGCATCCTATCTAGCAAGTAGAGAGATACTCTGAGGAGTTGTACAAAAATGAAAGGTATTTATCGGCGGAAACTGGACAGAACAAGAAAGTTATTAAAGCAAAAGAAAAGAAAGGATTGTTCAGGCCAGGTCATCTTTTGGGAGAAGGGAAGGGCAGGGGTCTTATCATGCAGATTACCTCACTAGTGCTAATCAGGAAATTTCAGATTGACCGTTTAAAGGTCACATTCCTGGCAGAGGCTGAATTTGCAGTTGTCTTGATTTGCTGTCACGGGGGCAAATGACTCCGTTTTGGGCCTATTATTTCTTTTTTAAAAATTTCTTTCTCGTTTATTGTTATGATTTAAATCATAATTTCTTGCTTAAAAAAAAAACAAATGTTTGCTGCCTAGTAAGCTATGAGAAAGGAACTTCTGCTACTCTCCTGTTTCATAAGAGAATCTATTCCCCAAATAATTTCATTGTAATGATATGAGTTGCATAATGTATTTTATTCTTTTTGTATTGAAAACTTAAATTAAAAAAAACTTATCAGGGAATAGTGATGCATTGAATGCATATATTTGTACTGTATTCCTCTATAACACCATCAAATTTTAAAATACCATTTAAGAGCAAAAATTGCTTTAAGTTTTGTAATGAAATTTTTGAGGACGTGTTGAATAACTATTCTCAGCCTTCATTGATTAAAATATATAATTTTATACACACACACACACACACACACACACACACCCCTTCACACCCTCACACAATGATTTACTGCTTTTTGGTGTAAGAAGGACATTTCACTAAGTTCCATGTGGTATGAATTGCACAAAACATGCTCTAGGAGTCGATTTAGCAGTCATCTCTGAATGGTCATTTCCTTCTTTACATAGCCAGTTGGTGGTTTGGGATCAACTTCCTACAGGAAGCATTCTTCACAGAGAAGAGTAGTATCACCTCAAGAAGCACATTGTTTTCTACTTAGCTTTTCTTGTTGAAAATGATAGGACCAAATGTAGCCATGTGGGATGAGAACCAGCTGCTTCTGAATAGGCCCACTCCTCTTCTGGGTTTTGGAGGGTAGCCCAGCAGATAAGCAGAGCTCTGGAGCCTGCTGCTGGGGTTATGGGCCAGGTTCCTCTACTTACTGGGAGTTTTACTTTAGACAAGCTGCTTAACCCTTCTATGCCTCGGTTTCCTTTTCTGTAAATGGATATCATAATACCTACCTCTTAGGGCTTTCTACAATGGTTAAGTAACTTAATACAGAAAAAACACTTAAAAGAGTACCTGTCACATAGTAAATATACAAGAAATTTATTATTATTATTATTACTGTTACTACTAGGTAATTATAAGATTACTATAATCCTGTTAAAGTCTACAACCAGTTTATCATCATCATGAATCATCTCTTAAATTAAAGCTTTACACCTTAGTTAGAGATGCCAGTACTTGGTGCTCTTCTGATTCTGATTCTGCATCAAGGTTATCAGTTACCGTAGTTTTACACATCACCTATATACCAGTGACTTCCACATCTTTGCGTGGTTCGGGACTCTAGCTCTGTGCCATACAGAACCCTATTTCCAGGTGTTGACCAGAATTTTACTTTGATGTCCCATGGGCACCTCAAATAAAAAACGTCCAAAATTGAACTTAGTTTCTCTCTCTCATCCTTATTTCTCCACTAAAAAAAAATTTTTTTTAATTCCTCTTCTTCCTTCTTTCCTTATTTTGCTTGTAACGTTGCTCTGGGTTGAATATTGTTCCCTCAAAATTCATGTCTACCTGGAACCTCAGAATGTGAATTTATTTGGAAATAGTGTCTTTGCAGATGTAATTAAAACATCTACTAAAAGTTAAAATGAGGTCGTACTGGATTAGGATGGGCCTTAAATCCATTAACTGGTGTCATTACAAGAAGGCCATGTGAAGACAGAGAGATACACACAGAGAACAAGACAGAGGCAGAGTTGAGAATGATGTGTCTACAAGCCAAGGAACTCCAAGGATTGCCATCAACCACCAGAAGCTAGGAGAGGGGTCTGGAACAGATTCTCCCTTAGAGCCTCCAGAAAGAACTAACCCTGCCAGCAGCTGGATTTTGGACTTCTGGCCTCCTACACAGTGACAGAATAAACGTCTGTTGCTTTCAGCCTCTCAGTTTGTGGTAATTTATTATGGCAGCCCTAAGAAATTAATACAGACATCGTCAACTGTTACTAAATTTAGAAGTTTTAGAACCATCCTTACCTGTATTAGTTTATAAGGACACCATTCATATTGGGTTAGGGGTCCACCCTACTCCAGTATGACCTCCTCTTAACTATTACATCTGTAACAGCCCTATTTCCAAACAAGGTCGCATTCTGAGGTACCAGGGGTTAGGACTTCAACATATCTTTTTTTGAGGGGATACAATTCAACCCATAACACTACCCCTCTCTTATTACCACTTGGAATCAGTCACCTTCCAGGTATTGTATGTTCTACTTCAGCAAAATCTTTCAGATGTAGCTCTTGTTCATCTCAGCTTCAGCTGTCCTGGTTATGGCACACTCATCTCTCCTCAGGATAATTGCAAAGGGATTTTCCTCCTTCATTTCATTCTTCATACATCCAATGAGTTATCTTATTAATTTCTAATCACATTTCTCTGGCTGATACCCACTAATGACTTTCCCTAACCACAGCATAAAGTATAAACTAGCACAGAAGGCCTCAAGTTTGGCCCCATCTTTTCCTTCCAACCACCTCTCTTGCCACTTTGTACTATGTGCCTCAAACCACACTAGGCTGCTCACCCTTTCTTGAAAATAGATTTTTAGGTCTCCAGGCCTTTGCTTGTGCTGTTTGCTTTGCCCAGAACACCCTTCATCACTTTAATCCCCTGCTGAACTAACTGTTCCTCATCCCATAAGGCTCAACTGAAACATTGCTTCCTCAGGTTGCTTCCACAATCCCATCACATAGAATTATTGAGCCCTTACCTGTGTTTCTCTGGCCCCTTGTGACTCTGGATACTAACGCAACACTAGGAAAGATATAGCACCTCTTATACACAACAATTAACCTTGACAATAGAAATATAAACAGCCACAGTTATGGACTTTTTCCCCCTTCTTGATATTAATATTAATTGACCATTGCAGCATAAATAAAAACTGTGTGTGTGTATAGATTTATATATACAAGATTTTTTGAAATCTCTCTGACACATGTTTATTACTTATATAATTAAGTTTTGTTGTAACCAAGCAGCCAGTATAGCTAGCAGTTTGGATTTTAAAAATTGAGTTCTTAATAAAGTACAGGAGGAGCTATCACTGCAATAATGCTGTATAACAAACAACCCCCCAAATTTCAGTGGTTCACAGCAACAGACATTTGTTTTGTCCATGGGCCTGTAGGTCGTCTGGGCTTGGCTACAGCTGGGCTTGCTCCATCTTAGTCATTCTGGGACCAGCAGCATCTTGGGCTGTGTTCTTCTCATGGCAATGGCAAAGGCACAGAAGGCCAAGCCAAATCATGCCAACACATTAAGGCCTATGATTGTGGTGCATCTGCTAACATTGTATAAGCCAAAACCAGTCATGTGGCTGAGCCCATAGCAAAGGGACAGGAAAATTGACTCCATAGGAGATTCTGCAAAGTCACATGGCAAAAAGCATGGGTGTGTAATTCTAATACAGACTTATTATTAGAGATATTATCCTAATGTCTCTAATATCCTAATATCTCTATCCCAGAGAGAGACAAACAGTCAAGCACAGGAATCCAATCTACCACGAAGTCTTTATGATCCGAAAGTGGCTGGTAGAAGCGTCTGCTTTGAAAATAAACTATTTACCAAGACCTTATATAACAACAAGGAACAATTGGATGCTGCATTTATAAAACAGCACTTTGAAATGTGGTTCTAATTATATCCATCTTTGTTTTTTTTCTAGAGATGTGAAGATGTGTGGCTTGGGATGCCATCACCTATTCCTGTAAAATACATTAACTATTTAAAGCTTATAAAGGACGTGTTTGGCTTAGAGGAGGAGTAACCATGCCAGCTTGGGTCAACTCCCTTTGATTCCTGCTCTAATTTTGCCAAGTTTATTTCTGTGGATATAATTTCATTAAAAACAGAAAAGAAACAAGGCTCGCATTGAATTGACATCCATAGACCATAATTAACCTTCTTTTGTCATTTTAGTTTTTCAGAACATCATATTATATTGCTGATATTACCAGTACTATTAATGCCATTTAAAGAAACGTTGAACATTTTTATTATATGTATGATTTATTAATACCAAAGAATCTCATGGTAATTTTCTATCCAACATAATTTGATTCGTTATGACACAAAAAGAAAATGACTTTTGACAACTATACATGACAATATAAAATCAAGTTATATCAGAACATAAGTTGTGATTCTATTAAACATTTTTTTGAAATCTTTTGACACATCTTTATTACTTATATAATTAAACTTTGTAGCAACCCACCTTATCAAAATAATCCTTAAACCTCTCTAGAGTGAAGGTATTTATTTTCTGAAATTAGCAAAGCTATGAGAAGAAAAGCATCCCCCTCCCCCCCACCCAAAACACACACACACACACACACACACACACACACAAATTTGGGAGAGAAATTGAATCATATGTAGTGTTTATATTTTTAATGCCCTTTTTATATCTAAAGTTAGCTTGTTAACTTAGGAATATATGCATGTGTATATAATTATGGTATGACCAAAAATGTATTATGTCTAAAATATTTAGGGACTTGAATGCTGAATATTTTGTGAGATCTTTTTTGGTTCATTCTCCACACACACACACCACCCACCCCAGAGTTTTAAATATTCTAAGACTACAGCATGTTTCCCTCCTGCATTTCTGTAGTTCTATTTTTATTTTTCTTCTAGGCCTATACATTATAAGCCTCAGCAAAGCTTTTGTCGTGTAGTATATATTTGATTAAAACTCAACCATGGACCCCTGGGAATTCATTGTGGGAAGTTTGTCCCAATCTAACCCATTCTTCAGTGTTGGGTGCTGTGTATCATACATCCAGTTGCCTGGTGTTCTCAGGGGCAATGGAAGCCTATGGAGAAGGGACTTGGACATTTACCTTTCAGGGACTGCTCTGAGGAGAGGAAAAGGAACTGATGACATCTCATGGGCGCCTTCTATCTCATTATTCTTTCACTCCACGTTTGTGGCATCTTGCCTAGAAATGAGCTGGCTTCTTGGCACTCAGACGTACCAATTTGCTCGACAACAATGGCTCTTTCATTTTTTTAAATTGAAGTTGATCGATAAACTATTTCTCTATATAAACCTAGGATAATTCTACATGTGCCATTGTTAGAATAGACCCCATAGGACTTTCCAATAAATTACAATACTCAATTTATATACTAGAGCTATTTACCCATAAAATCTAATTTTGACTACTTGATTTTTATCCCAGGTTTTTTTTTTTAAAGACAACTGACAGTGCTAAGCCATTTTGTCACTTTAAGATTTTCCATTCCCCTGAGAGCAAGCTTTTAGAGGGATGACACTTTCCTGGAACTTTTCAGGCTGACACATTTGTCACTTACCTATTCAACTCTTCAGTCGTCTTTTCCTCAAGATTTTAAATATATAGATAATTTAGCCCTTGTACAGGCTTATAATAGAGTTCATTTGAGAAGTGGGAGGAGAACAAGAAAGGAAAGCAAACCAATGATATGCTCCAGAGTTTGTAGGATGACAACTGCTCGTTCTATTGCGTAGATGTGTGTCACTGCCTGGTTATTCGAAGTTCAAGCACAATTAGCAATTAAATGGCCATTATAGGAATCATGCCGATAAACATGATACATTGCAGCCATACAGACACTTTAAATAATTATTCTTTTTATAACTAAGCCATATACTGAAGGAGATTTATAATTTAGAGATAATATCCCCATTAGTAAAGTTTATGACCCAATAAACAGCTCCCACTAGTTAATAAATGCCAAAGCCATAAAAACAAAGACTATTAATGTAATAGAATTTTTGTACCTCCCTCTTTTGCTGGTGGTCTCAAGGCACTGAAGGGAAATGCTATCTTAGGAAAAACATTTATTCTCGTTATGTAAATATCAATGAATTGTCTTACAATCCATCTGGAAATCTCCCAGCCCCACCCCCTTAGTCCCAGGTGGTCCCGAAATGCTGACGTGTTCTGCTTAGGTTTCAAGCAGTAGATAACTGGTTTTCAGCACAAATAAACCCTGTGACTCAAATCTTTGGGGGAGGTGGAGAAGACAGCTGGAATTTCTGCTGCTTCTCGTCCCTCTGAAAAAGAGAAATCTCAACTATTGCCATTACTGCAGAAGGATAATTTTTAAAAGTTTCACAACCTTTGCTTACACCTAAAGTTTTAGCTGCCTTTTCTCTTTCCTCTGAAAAAGAGAAACCCCAGTTATTGTCGTTGTTCCAGGGTAATAATTTTTAAAGACGTTTCACAACCTTTGCATATAGTTATATTTTTAGCTGCTAGCATTTTCTCGTTTTGATGGAAAAAGCAAATGCTGCCTGTGGAAGTCTGGGTGAGTTGAAGGTTAATATAGGCAAACCTTTTGTACTAAGAACTAATTGTTTTTTAGTATTCCTGGAACTGTGGAATGATTGATAAAGTCATTTGAAAACCCAAATCAAATCCTGTCTTCTCATAAGAAATTGATTAAAAGCTGTTGAAGTTCACATTAAATGGTTTGCTGAGTCATTGTTGTAAAGTATGGATGTTGTCAGCAGATGACTAATTTCCAGCGTTTATTTGCATTTTTTCCCCTTTTAAAAACAAAACCGTTTGGACCTATTTGAAAAATAATGGTCAATCTATTGCTTGGCTTTAGTGCTTACTAAAATAGTTAAAATTTCAGACAATAGAGAGGAGATGAAGAGCACTGTAACTTTCAAGTATTATGATTGTTTAAACATTTGCTTATTTTATTTTATGTATTGCTTCTGATCCAGTTAATGTCAAATTTACCATTCTTGGTCTTTCTTTTTTTATGCTATTTGGAATTTGGTTGTCTGCAGTTATACAGCTTCCAGGCTTTATGGGCACTTCAGTCATGAGTTTAGGATATTTAAATTGCCCTTCCTTCTTTCAAATAGCGGGGAATTATTGAGGAACAAAATGAAATCTCTCCAAGTTAAAAAAGTAAATGAAAGAAAACTCTTGCCTTTTCAACTTGAATTTATTTATCTTAATCTGAGTGAGGACTGCTTCATAATCTTTTCCCATTGTTCCTCATTTCCTTGTCCCCTTCTTCCATACGTTATGATTTTGCTGTAAGTTCGGCATTTGGAGTCTTCAATAATAGCTTAATGAAATAGTAGGGTTTTCCACAAAATGTTTCTGTTTAATAATGCAGAATCCATTGAATAATGGATTGTCATGTTTCCAGTTATATGTATATTCTTTTTAGTTAAGAATATAGATTCCTGAATTTTGAATATCCTTCAGAAGTTGTCTGTAAATGACCTTTCAGACAAACACCTTCCAAATGATATCAAACATACACTCAAGTGATGGGTCTCTGCCCTAATATTTGTTTGGGCAAAGTTTGAATTGCTTCAAGTTGAAGGAAAGTTAAGACCTTTTCAAAAATGAGTCTTTTCAAGTTGACTGAGCATCTTCAGACACAGAGTGCTTTTCAATTCCCAAGAGAATGGAATGTGTAAAAATAGAAAACCCACTGAGGCAAGATCAATGAAGCCTTTAGCAAATAAACCTGGAGTGATAATGGAGCAAACATTATTACAAAGGGTAGCGCTGACTGTGCAATTACTTTAAAAAAATTGTAATTCACCCCCACTCACCACCTTCTACCAGGTTATGTCGGTTTAAATAAACGTTTTCATTCAAGGTTAATTAAATTTCCCCAAACTAAGAGTTCTGAGACTAGAATGTGCATCTTCTTTGCATTTGTTCCTAGTCCCCAGTAAAATTCCTTCCAAGGGGACTTTCGAGCCCCTTATGTGTCTGGTGCATGGCACAGGAACCCAAGGGTCAGCTGCTCAGAAGCAACTGGTAATGGCTGAAAAATGTGGCTGATGAAAAACTCTACGGTGGCTCTGCAAGTAGAGAATTAATGGCTAGCTGGAATCAGTAGGAGACTTTACTTCTAAATACTCGTTAGTTTAAGCAGTGAGGCCTGATGTTACGCGAGTTAGATAGGGGAAAGCGGACCGCCCCTCCGCATTGTCTGTTTTGAGCAGAATATGCACATTTAACTCAAAGTGGTGAATGGTTTAAATACAAACCAACTATTCATCAATCTCCCAGCTTCCTGAACACCGCTTTGCATCTGTGTAAAGCCAACAATAGAGGAAATGCTTGTTATGACCCCACTATAATATTAAAATCCAGAGGGGCTGATAGCTTGGTGAAAAACACAAAACACATTCTCCTTTAGAAATACTTCCACCAAAGTCATCTTTGTATTTCCTTTTTCCTACTTTGCCTATAGAATAACATCTGACTGAAATAGGAACTTGATAAAATTACTTTTGCCTGCTTGTTTCTCCCTCGCTTCCACTGCTCTTCATTATTGCTGTGAGACCACTCACTGAATACAGAACAGGAGCTGAAAAGCCATTTCAGACTGCTGCAGATGTCCCGAGTTATAACTATGACTGGAGCATGGAGAGTGAGAAGGGAAGTGGCAAGAGATGACAATTGTGGAGGGGAGTTGGGACAAGAATAGGGACCACCTTGTGTGTTAACTCACATTAAAGAGTTTGAACTTCATCCTAAGGGCGTGAGAAGTTACTGAAAGATTTTAATCTGGAGAATGAAAAGGTCATTTTCCAGATTAAAAATCTCTGGCTGCTTTGTGTGTGTGAACTACAAGAGTGAATTTGGTGGTGAGAAGGCTGGCTGGGAGGCTGTTGCCAGAGAAGTGATGAGTGGTTTGGATTAATGTAATGTCAATGAGATTGTGAGGTTGATGAGAAGTGGATAGATAAACAACACATTCAGGATGTTGGAGATGAGGAAGAAGAAGAAATCAAAATTAGGATTGAGTCATTTTGACAGCTGAGTAAATGCGGTATCATTCATTGTGCCAGGATACAGCAGAGAAAAATCAGGTTTGAAGGGG